TTATCTTTTTTAAATAGAAGTATGAGATAGTCTGTAAAAGACGAAAAACACTCTACTGATTGGATTGATTAGAACCAAAAGGCAAACATACCATATATCAGACATGCTCAATTGACTAATATGCAAATGAGGCATTTAATTTTATGTCCTACATTCAATGTATGTTACTATCTTGATCTATCTAAAACAGTACTTGCAATACTGTGAAGAAGTTCAATTATTGGGAAAATGTTAATAATGTAATAATTTGTCAACAGTCATGTTTGGTTGTGAAAGTAAAATTTTATTTTAAACTTTTTCCTCTAGTGTTAGAAAGTACCTTTTTTTTTCTCCAGCATGTAAAATTACTCTAATATCCTGACTGATTTAATAATATCACGAAATAAAATATCTAAAATAGTGTTTTTAAAGAGAATTAAGAGCAGGGTGACTGAACAAAATCTGTTAACTTTAGTAATTATTTATGTATTAGTAAATTTACTATAATTAATTAAGTAATTTATTATTAAATATTAGTATGTTTATAATGTATATCAAAAACTCACGAAATTGAAAATATCTACTATAAAAAATCATTTAATTATAAAATAATATACTAAAATTTTAAATAATTCTTATTTGATGAAGTATACTTTTGTACAGTTTCAATGAAATAATAATTGTGTTGCTCTATTAAATAAAATAATTGCATTATTCCTTTTGGTGATTTGTTATTTTAATTCTTTGTAAATAAAAAACATTAAATTACTTAATTTAGAGGAACAAGTAGGGGCAAAGGATCTTGGCCCTTTCTTTATATTTTTATACTGCAGAGGAACCATAATGAAAGGTCCTACATTTCATCGAATAAAGCTGGTCCTTTTTATAATTTCACAAATGATAGACTAATATGCTTATTATTGTAATGTGAACGTACAATATAACAATTAGGCCTACTCATTTATTAATTGTGACTTTAGTTTTGTCATATTAGTTACTCTTTCGCTATTCTATTGCAGTTCAAAAATTAATTTGTTTATTTAATTAATTGTGTTTTTAATTTCATGATAATCCCAGATTTTACGCATCTGAGGTTGTGGTTGCTTTGGAGTACCTCCACATGATGGGAATCGTATATCGTGATCTCAAGCCTGAAAATGTATTAGTTCGAACAGATGGTCATATAATGTTGACTGATTTTGACCTCTCTTTAAGATGTGATGACTCGACTTCTACGCCGGTGCAAGTAATTTCTACTCAGAATCAGCCCAATGCACTACCACAAAGCGAGTATAGAATCGATCCACCATCGTTTGGCTCAACTTCTTGCATTCTTCCCAACTGTATAGTCCCTTCGGTATCGTGCTTCCATCCCAAGCGCAAGCGTAAAAAGAAGCAAGGCCACCATGCAGGTCCCGAACTTGTGGCCGAGCCTATTGATGTTCGATCGATGTCGTTTGTTGGGACCCACGAGTATTTGGCTCCAGAGATAGTCTCCGGGGAAGGCCATGGCAGTGCAGTGGATTGGTGGACCTTGGGGATATTCATTTTTGAGTTGTTTTATGGCGTGACACCATTTCGAGGTATGGACCACGAGCTAACACTAGCGAACATCATTGCTCGAGCCCTCGAGTTTCCAAAAGAGCCTGTTATCCCGACCGCGGCAAAGGACCTAATATCTCAATTGCTTGTTAAAGATCCAGAGTACCGAATGGGATCGAAAATGGGCGCATCACCAATTAGACGCCATCCGTTCTTTCAAGGAGTGAATTGGGCACTTTTGAGATGTACGGCTCCACCTTTCATCCCTCCGTCTGTGAATGGAGATTATTTATCGGATGAAAGTTGTCCTGGAACTATCGTGGACTATTACTAGTAGTATAAGCTTGTCCAAGTGCTTCATCGTTTAATCATTACCATGCATCGTATGTTTTGTGCGACTTTCAAATCAAAATATTGTTTCTTCGTGTTAAAAATTATATGTAAACAAATCGTAATAAGTCGAATTCAAGTGAATGGTGTATATTTCATATATAAATAACATGTCCTCAGGTAATCGTTGGTCACAAAATGATGAAAATATAAATTTCTTTGACATGGGATTATTACAAAATTGTTAGGAAGGCAATGGTGTTTTGTGATAATGGGAGACAAAGGAAACTTCGTTTTAAATTTATTTAAGGCGACAAAGCAATTTTATTATCCCCAAGTCAATGGCCCTTTGTTGTGATGTCGACAATATTACATGTAAACCATGATGCCGACAAGCACTGCATTCAAAACCCATTGGCCCCCCCACTTTAGCTGCTTCTAATTTTAATCCACAACCTCCTAAATTAAAATAGTCTCCTAAATTAAAATAGTTTTTTAGACATAAATGTAGAAAATAACGTGATAAGATAGTTACACTCATCTACTTGATAGCGAGATTTTTACCCCCATATCATATGGGAAACTGTTAAGGACCTTGTTTATTTCGATCTAAAAGACTAACTAGTGGTTGCTAAGAAAGTTTAGGGGCCCTCCTTCGAGAGAAGGATGAATTTCATATTAATGCTAATGAAGAAACATTTCAAATTCAATGATTAAGATGTTTGACTTCGACAGACAATAGATGCAACTCTGTACTAAGGTTTGGCTACTGATTACTTTCCCTTCATATCTAAGCAATTTTTGAAGGATTTAGAACAATAAATTACATATTTATTTCAAAATTAATAACTTTTTTGTTGATTTCTATATCATTATTCCATTTTGTGGGGTATTGACTCCTACCATGTGAGATGTTTATTTGATTGAAGAAAGTGGGGTTGGGGCGTAGTTTTATGGTTCTTCTTTTAGGAGAGTTGTAATGTATTGATGTTAGGATTAGTTTCATAAACTCTTTATGCTATAATTTAACATTGGTACCAATAATTGGAGTAGGTTGAGTTGGGTATTTGGTTTTGTGGTGCGGAGTGGGGAATATTTCCATCTTTGTCTAGGATCTTTCAAGAAGATGACAATTCTTTGAGTTGCAAAGTTGTTTCCCTGCACAACACACTATTATAGTAGTTTGTTACTTAAGTAGGTACTACACGATTGAATTGAAACCGTGGTTCAAGATCATGCTTTTGAAACTCTATGTGATTATTAGCATGTCAATTCTGCTTACCACTTGCCTTCTCTATAAATATGCGATATAGACGAAGATAAAGCCAAATGATCTTTCAAGAATATGCTTCACATGCCAAGGCCAGTTTCCAATTGTGGTTGACACCCTAAATTGCCTTAAAAGAATCTGATTTGATCCAAACATGAGATATGTCCATTCGATGGCACAATCTTATGCCAACAAGAATAGCCTTCAACTCGGCCTCTAAATTCATGCACGTAGGTAGCAATCACAAACCTGCAATGATACAAAGGCCTGACTGTAAAGTAACGAATAAATGGACTGGAAGTGTTCGGCTTGTATGCTGAATAGTGTTTCATTCATATTAATTCATACTGAAATATTACAACCGACTGGAGTTT